TCACTAAGTTCTGAAAGAGGGTATACGTCCTGCTCGTACGTTCTTCGATATGTTTCAATTTTATAAGCATCTATAGCCATATGCCTCCAATGATTATTTTTCAAGTGCATTAAAACCATTATCACATGACCACATGACAAACCAATTAGTTGCCAATATTTGCAAGAACAAGTCTTTTCCCTCAAATTCACTATACTACCACTTTTGAAGTCATGCACTTGATATGTTGTATTGTCAACACCAGATATCAACCATCCTTGAATCCCATCTTTATTTTTTTAACCATATCTTCAGCCCACTTCGTAAGTATTGTTGTACTTTTTATGTTACAACAAACATATATTATTATATATGACATTTATCATATAATTTAAAATTAAACATAATCATACCTGCAACCATTCGCTGTTTGTAAAACCATGTTTGCATAAGTGCGCAAAAGAACTCAATAAGTGCTAATATAGACAACTTCCTTGCTTTATTTGATACAACATTCATGGACTCCACACTATTTGAGGTCATATAATCATACCTCATGGTAGGGCAATACGCTCTGGTCCATTTCTCACGTGGAATTTAACTGAGATATGTCGCTATATCATCTCTTATATTATAAGTCCCCCTCCCTCCCCCCCCCCCCCCCAATAGAATTCAAACTCAATTGTTTTGTAAGCTCTTACCAGCTTCCAAAACAAAATTGTTGTTTTTTTTTTTCCAAAGGTCTGGACTATGTTTCCTATAAGATGAAAACCACACAATCCATGTTGAGCATTTGGAAAAACATTTTGAATTCTTACAGCAATTTTGGGTGCCCTATCTGTCAGACCTTCCACATCACCAATGCATTCATGTAGTTTTTCAAGAAACCATGTCCAAGAATCCGTAATCTCTTTTGGGAAACATTCCATATCCAATAGGCATGATATTGTCTCCATGGCTAGCCATGCAGCTGGTCTCTGTACTGCTTCAAATGAGCACCCATCAGTAACTCTCACTATATAACTTTTATACAACCCTCTTTGAAAGCACGTATCTGCAACAACAATATAAAAACAATTAATATATCAACAATATAACTTGTTTATAAACATTTAAGAAATTAAAAAATATATTTAAAAATATATTACCGCGTACCCAATAGTGGAAAAGCAATACTTAAAACGATCCTCCGAATCATTTTTTATGTACGCCACAGTACCCGGATTATGTTTCTTCAGATTGTGAAAATACACTGGAAGTTTGTAGAAACTTTCTTCGGGGGTCCCCACCATCAATCCCAAAGCAATTTCTGTAGCATGCCACGCTTTTGAATAACTCATATTTATTTGTAGCAAAGCATTCATATATCTAATTATATCATTAGGCTTCAAAACTCTCAAAATTCCTTGACCCATAATGTCATGTATTATGGTTACCACAACTTCGTTATTTGCTTGCCTATGATTTGGGTGTATAAGCAATGAAGAACATGTATGCTTGTCATTAAACGTCTTAATTTCAAAAAATTCTATTCCTTTAATGAGAGATGCGTATAAACGCTAATGACAGTTTTCTTTCATACAAACAACCTGGTACTGAGATTTTGAAGATTTTTCAACCTTTATCTGAAACTTTTCTCTAACGACTTTGAATTTAATAACAAATGCTAGGTCTTTTTTGGTGTAATAGGTTTGATTGACAATTAATTTATCATTCGGACCTAGACTGTGAAATGGTCTAGGTTCAAGAATAGGTTCTAGACAATCAGGAATAGAAGGAATACAATACCATGGATTAAAAGCAATTTTTCGTTGTGTGTACTCATCATCCGACCACCCTTCATTTGATTTTTCCTCACATCTTCGATCATCAATTTCAGGAACTTCTCCAAACTCGAACAAATTTTGACATTGTAATTCAGTTATGCCCACTTTTGCTTCTTTATCATTATCTGATACAAAAGTATCAGTAACTGAAACTTTTTTTCATAACCCACTGGCACTTCATTTCATCTTCACCTTGAACGGTTTCCATCACTTTGGCTTTCTCTACGACCTCTATTAGTATTTGTTGGATTAAACTGGTTGTTAACCACTACTTGTTCTTCAGCTTCTTCACCTACCACCATTAAATACAAATGTATCGTCTTCTTTGATTCAGACATTACATATCTCAATTGAAATACATCAGTTTCATCTCCAAGCTCCATGACATACCCTAACTCAGGGTATTTAAAAGACAAATATATCTTACTATTTAACACACTTGCCTTACTTCTAACCATTTGTAATAACATTTCATGGTCAATGTTAGGAGGAAGATTTAAAACATAGCTTTTCACATTATTTCTAACGTAAACCTCATCTCCATTAACTAACTGCCACGACCTTCCCGTACAAAAAACAATAAAACTCATTTTACAAATGACTCTCCACAAACATAACGAAAAACAACTTCTAATGGTAACCGAAACTCTCAAACTCACAAAAAACCACTTAAATACGTCTATAACTTCTATAACCGATCTTCAGAGGTGTACACTGATCCACATAAAATAGTTCTGCGTACTCCTTAACAGTTATGCAGAGGTGTACACTGATCCACAGAAAACAGTTCTATAACTGATCCGTAGAGGTGTATACTGATCTGCAGAAAATAATTCTGCGTATTCCCTTACAGTTATGCAGAAGTGTACACCGATCCACAAAAAACAGTTCTATAACTGATCTGCAGAGGTGTACAATGATCCGCTGAAAATAGTTTCGCGTATTCCCTAACAGTTATGCACATGTGTATACTGATCTGCAGAAAATAGTTCTATAACTGATCCGTATAGGTGTACATTGATCCGCAGAAAATAGTTCTGCATATTCCCTAATAGTTATGCGGAGTAATTAATAGGGATTTAGTTTAAATTGGACAACCACACACAAAATATATAGAATTTGAATATGAGTTCATCTTTAAACTTCTATATTTGCTCTTGCAATGAAGTTGATTGTTACTATTGTGATCCGATTGACCCTTTTTTTGCACCGTCACTAAACATCAGAGGGCAATATATGTCAGATGATACTTTGCATGAATTACAATGGGATGAAGAACATCAAAAAATAGATACAGAGTCATCTCGGGTTCTCACTAAACATCGTGATGTCATTGCGGAAGAGTGCAAACAGGCTGAGGAAAGGATGCAGATTAATAAAAATAAAATCAAAGAGCATGAAGAATGGATTAAAAAGACTAAGAAGAGTATCAAAATGACTGAAAACTGCTTGCGGAGAAGGATGTAGAGATGATAGAACTTGGGCGGCAAAAAGATCGTTTTAAAGATAAAGTAAGAATTAGGAACGACTATATCAATGGAGAAAGATAAGTATCCATTGCAGTTCCCTTAAGTTGATTAGTGTTGTTGCACATTTGTTTTGTTATATGTATTATCTTGTACTTGAACTTAATTTATAAATTTAACTCTACTATACTAGTCTACTATTCCAAATAACATAATCAAAACATAGGTAAATATTCTTAAAACAATAATCATAATACAATCAAAGTCTACTATTCCAAATAATTTATGACATCCTATTACGGTAACTAAATCTCGTATCTCTAGGTGACTGACGTGTCTCCACTGGTACACCCGATGCAAGCATTTTCATGAACATGTACACAAAAACTCCACAATCTCCTCTTTCTCCTTCTTTTACTTTTTCCTACTGCAACACATGTTTAGCTTTAATGAATTCCACCTTAGTAGGTTTCTGTGTATTAGGAAAATGGGCCAAACATGATATGTGGCCTAGTTCACTTAATATACTATCTCCCAACGATTTGAAACTACCATCACCCGTATATTTTTTAAAGAAACCCCTCCATTCGGCTGAATCATATATGCTCCCTTTCCATGGAAGGAGATCCAAATCAGCCAAATACCAATGCATGTGCGGTATGTTGATGGGAACTAAAACCTTCATAAAAATGATAAGTTATTAGATATATACATATTTTGATATATATATATATATATATATATATATATATATATATATACTAACCCGATCAATATCCTTCCAATGTGGTCCATCAACCATCCCGGCTGCTACACGCCTCAAATAATGTTGTTTCCCAGGTTCCAAAGTCGTGCCTTCAGAATTAATAATCGTCCACCTACCAGTTGGCGTATTTATTTCCTTGAGTAGGGACTTCCAGATAACCAAATACTGCGTGTTAGAATTTTTTTTTTTCATTTTTTATAATTAATTATTTATCACTTTTTGTAATATAAAATCAGGGATGTGTGTTACCTCATAGAGCAACCATCCAAAGCCAATACCAAGTAAACTTGACCAAAATTCTCAATTCATCTCAATACCACTTAAAGGTATATGCTCCAAAAATACCGCTCTCATGTTCTTTCCCCACAAATTCCAAAATTCATTATCACTCTCTGCAAAACGTCCAATAGTAATGGTCTTTTTTCTACATTATTGGGCATATGTGGTTTTTTCCCTTTTCTGTTCTTCAATGGTTCCATCAACGAAACCTACAAAAATCAATATGTCAATTAATTTGGAATGATTATATACTATATAAATAGAAATTATTTAATTTTATACCTGTGTGTAAGACTCCCTACAAAATTTTGATTCATTTTTACCCGCCTTTTTAACAGTGTAAGTGTGTTATCCTTAACTACAACAACAGGCGGTGGTGTTTGCACATACGTATGGCCTGACTCTGGATCCAAACCACGAAAAAAATGCTTCCCCAGCATCCACATTTTCCATGTCGTCCACGTCAAATTGTTTATCTTTTCCCAATTATCCATTCTCTTCCCAAAGTGCTCGATTGTGGTTTTAAATTGAGTAACAACACCCAATAACTTGTCTATTTTACTGTCTTCTAGAGATATGTGGCATGTTTCTTGAAAATGAGAGGCCGAGGTGTAATCTACTCCCCGAAAATGAGAGTCTGAGGTGTAGTCTGCTCCCTGAAATTGAGACGGGTGAGGTGATGGAGACCGCTGCATAGGAGGACTATGTTGTTGCAGTGATGGAGACCGCTCCTTAGTAGGACTCTGTTGTTGCGGTGACGAATGCACTTTGTCTAGAGTCCAATTTATATAACGCACAAAGAATGGAAAATGGATCTCAACAGACATTGGTTCAAAAACACGTGGGATGTTATTTTCCTGCAAAATTAAAAAATTAAATTTAAGTATATAAAATTGCTGTAATTTTTCATCTATATATAATTAATATAAGGAATGTATAACTATACCACTGAAACGTCTAATATACGTAAACATTGCTTGACAGATAATTGTGTTTTTATTCTCCATGCCCTTATTCTTGGAATTTCATTTTTTGTGTGATGCGTAAACCTCAAAGCTTCTGGAAATGTCTCCAAAATCCATACCTAGTATTACAACAAAAAATTATGTTTTGTCCAAACTTATAAGCACTTAAATAATACAAGTAGTTGCACCTAAAACTAACCTTAAACAGAAGCTGAAAACCGATCATCGTATACTTCATCATCTTCGTGTAACCTACACTCTCATTATCTCGTAAATATCTATAGATTTTACCAAACCATAATCGTAATTGTGTTTCACTATACCTCTACAAATACGTACCCCACGCAAACCTGTCGTACTCATTATAACTAATATAAATCATTGTCACACCCCCCAAACCAGAATGACGGAAACGTCTAGGGGCGGATGGAGTGACTTCATGTAAAGTATCATAAAAAGTGAATATAATTGAAGCATAGCAACACCAACATTCATACATAGATAATTTCAAGTTTACATTGTTTACAACACTTTGTTTGTGCAAAAGTTAAACATAAATACTGAAAAGTGGAAAACATCAAATGTTGATGCCGACTCTCAAGAGGGTTTAAGTACCTGCTTACTGGTTTCCTGAGAATACAAGTGATTTTGAAAACGTCAATAATGAATGTTAGTGAGTTCATAATCAGTTTACTATGAAGGTGTGACAACCAAATTTTTTTTTTTTTTTGCTGTGAAAGCTCAGTCAATCAACTCAACTGAGTGTCGGAATCATTTCTAATGAGTTCTAGCCTTGTTAAAGGTCATTCTAAGGAGTTTTAGCCTAGTACACTTAAGGAATAAGTGTTACGAAGTACCTGCTAAAGCCAATGTACAACAAATCAAGCCTTAACCTCATCCTAAGGAGTTCACGGCCACAATGTCAATGAGTTTACGGCCGTAAACTCATGTCCATATATGAGTGTCTTGGTCATTTCTAGCCATTTCTTACATTCCAACCTCAAGAACTCGGTTTCTCTCTCAAGTATCATCAAGCTTTCTCACTTAGATCTTCAAAAGTGTAAGTGTTCTATCCCTTGATTAGTTGACACACCTTCTTAACTAGCTTCATCCTCATGATTCATCCATGGAAATCAACTTTTCTTAGATCTTCAAGAAACACCAAGAACACCAAGAACACACACTAGTGTTCTTGAACCTAAATCACCATTGCAAGCGTCTATATCATAAGTAGTCTCTCCTTAGCTTGTTATATAGTTGAAACACTAGATCATAGCCTTAAAACTCATCAAAGAGAGTTTACAACCATGAGTTTACACCTTGGCTGTAAACCCTTGAAAGTGTGGTGTTTTGAACCTTAAACACTTCTAGACCCTTGCTAACCCTTAGAACACTTGAACCTTTGAAACTCTTTGCCTTTAAGACCCAAGATAAGTCCATTTGGTGAGTTTACGACCATAGAGTTTATGGTGTGGTCGTAAACACCTCAACACCCTCCATTAATTTGGTTTTTCTCATCCTTGTGAAGAGCAATGGTCCCTCAAGTTTCCCTAGCATTCAAACACTCTCTTATGCACATTACCATGAGTTTATGGCCACAGGGTTTATGGTGTGGCCGTAAACACCTATTCTTGGCCTTAAACATCCCTTAGTCCAATCACATGTGATTCCAACACTTGGTCAAAGTGTTTCCTAGTCCCGTGAGGTGTTTCCTTGCATTCGGTTGCTTCAAAACACTTTATTTATGTCAATATATGCCATTATATGTCATTTAGGAGTCGTTAAGTCTCGGGACTTCATTCGTGGATCTTCTCATCCTTACACACATATTCGTTTGAATCACCCACATCAGGTGAGTTCATACCCCGCAATTAATCTTTTAAATTGTTTTAAATGCTTTAAAGGGGGGGGGGGGGGATACAAGTTGAACACAATGATAATTGTGTTAATGTTTGTTATAAATATATTTCAAAAGATTGAGTATGTCTTTTATAAGTGGTCAAAACATTTCAAAAGCTCTTTTCAAGTTATGTTACTTTCTAGTTTAACAAAACTCCATTTTTAAAGTACAAGGATAACTTAGTAGTAAAATGAATCTTTTCAATAACAATTCAAGTAAAACATTAGTAACATATAAGGGGTATAGTTTAGAGGTTCAGTTCATACTAGATACAATACACGATAACAGGAAGAACATACTAAAATACTTTAACAGAACGAACATACTAAGTTGCTATAGCATGGAACTACTACAGGATCTAATTATACCAATGAATCACTAACTCACTGTTCTAAGCAAAAGATGATAGTTATATTGGGTATACATGATCACATAACTTTAATGTGGATTACACTACCTAGCAACTGGTTTGCGGAAGTCGTGTTTGGTTCCCAGAATCTCTTGATAGGGAGAGCGTATAATATGGGTGATAGCCTTCACATTATGACCTCAATAAAACAAACATGATTTAAGGAAACCAGTATGCCAGGTTGTCAATTCAAAAGACAACTGAGTACTTTCATTTTTCACATTACTTTCATAAATTGACAGTTCCAATTGAAAGTTAATGCAAACTATTTTCGAGTCAAGATACTTATAAACTAGGGAAAACTTACATTTTACAAACGACAATCAGAACAGTCGAGTCTAGTACATTCAGTAGAAAGGGACCATACTGCTAACTTTATGATTCCTTAATGTATACATCAAGGGATATATACTAATAGGATCCGACAGGTAATAGGATGTGTGCTTTCCGCTTCATTTCCTATTCCTTGTTTGGTTGTAGGCTTAGAGCGGATTCACCCAGCCTATTATCAATTTGATCTTCGTTATATATATATATATATATATATATATATATATATATATATATATATATATATATATATATATATATATATATATATATATGTTTTGTATACATTAAGTCATCATAAAGGGTACCAAGTATGGTTCAGGTCATAGGACACTAAATCAATGCACAGTTTTCTAGTACAAAACATACTATTCAAATCAGAACTTTTGGTATACAAAACTAGAAACGTACCAGTAAAGGGTTTAATCCATTTTATTAAACCATTATAACTTAAAGGACCTTAGGTGATTAATTCTATAATACCTTAGTTAATACATCAGGGTTATATATAATTAATACCCGATAGATAGTTAGATGTGTGCCTTCCGCCTCATTTCCTGTTCCTTGTTTGGTTATGGGCTTAGGGCAGATTCACAAAAGTATCTATCTATTCGATATTAGATTATATATAACTAGTATAAAATAAGTGACTATAGAAGGAACCACTGTGGTTACAATTTTAATATAAGAAATAAGGGTTTTCTTAAAGGATCTTTTCATCAAATATAAAGGAACTATTACAGTTAACTCCATGAGTACCAAGTGAATACACCAGGGTTCTATACAACAATGTTCTAACAACCAATGAGATGTGTGTCATCCGCCTCATTTCCTGTTCCTTGTTTGGTTGTGGACTTAGGGCAGATACACACAGTTGATTGCTTGTTTACTCTGAGTTTTATATAACTTGTATCCAATTAGTACTCATAGAAAGGATTGTAGAGTCATTTTTACTTATCTTTCATCAAAGCAGGAAATATAGGATTTTCTGGAGGAACAAGCGAACTTTTCTAAACATAACTTACAGCTTACTAAACTTTCTACAACTTGCTTATGTCACTAAAATCTTATGAACTCACCAACTTAATTGCTGATAAACTCTTTCAAATAACTTGTATTCTCAGAAAACTAGTAGATAGGTACTCGCGCTGGGAATTCAGAAGATGGAGCAGTATAGCTTCAAGTCTTGTTTTGTTATTTGCTTATGTATTTTATGTTTTGTGAACACACACTTTGTGAACACTTTATTCATAATGAAATGGTTGTTTATTACTTTGATTACTATGATGCATGTCTTGTGATACTAAACATGACGTACTCCACCCCAGAACATTTCCGCCGTTTTGGTTTTGGGGTGTGACACATGGGTTTGTTCTAGGGGGCTTCAAGGAACTTTGTCAACACCAACATCCCCTTTTTGAGAAGGAGAGGGTGGATTATGTGGAGACTCCCCGTGAGTATGTGCAGGTAATTTTGAAACATTGAGGGGTACCTCAAATGAGTGGGCAGGAGGGGTGTTCGGACAGCTAGAATAAGTGGGAATGTCATGGGTTCCTTCCTATTGAGAGGAGGAACTGACTATGATTTTCTTTATAGGCTTTGACTTGGTGGGTGAAGCATTTCACTTTGATGGTTTCTTAACCTTGGGTCCGGACGTTGTAGGCTTGGCCTCTTCCGAGATGGGTTTAGCTGAGACTGGGGAAGGGTGTGTTTGGTCGAACACTACCAAAGTCTCTAAGTGATTTCTTAGATTAATGGAATCGGAAGGAATAAGGGCCAACATGTGGTTCGGAAGATGTCGAACCGAACCAAAATATGATTGGTACGGAATCCTATAAGCCTTAACAATTTTGAATGAGACACACACCTCCGGAGGAATGGTGTTAACCGGAAGTGGTTCATGAAGATCTCTGAAGACTTGTTGGAGCATCAGTGCCCAGAACCTAGGGCTCGAAATCTCGTTCTCCTTTCTCTTGATGGTGAATTTGCACAAATCATGCCATAGAACTCCCGGAAGATCCACAGCGTTGTTACGTCCGGATTAAATGCTAAAGACAAAGTTGAGCCTATCCTTGCTAAGCATGTCGGTTCCTCCATGCTTTCCCGAGAGTCCTCTGATGATCAGATGCATCAGCATTGTCCATAGACCCGATACAACAGATTTCTTGAAATCTTTTTCCCTATAATCTTGATTGTAGCCGATGTAGGTCAAAAACATCTGGAACTCTTCAGACGTTGGTTCTTAAACCTTAAAGCCTCGTGGATTCGCTTTCACACCAATCTCCTTAAGGAAGGTCGATTTGTAGATTGGGATCGTTTTGTCGCCGATGATCGTTGTTTCAAGTACACCGTCTTCGAATCTTATACTGGTGAATGCACGATGAAGATGATGAAGTGGTAGTGGAGGTTCAGGGGTTTATGTGAGAGGAATGGAGATGGGGTGATTTGCGATAAACTCGATCATAACCCTGATAGATTCATCGTAATCCATTGGATTTAACGAGAAAAGTTGTATGGTGTCTCTCAGAAAGGGTTCTGCAGTGGCCGATGATGATGAGCCTTTGGAACCTTTGGCAGATTTCTTGCGAGCGATGGATTTATTGGGTGTTGATGC